ACCGCTTCCTGCGGCAGCTGCTGCTGCTGCTGCTGCTGCTGCGCGGGCCGCAGGCTGAGGGTCTTTTCAGACCTTAGGTCTTGCAACACTTTTTCCCCCTGCATTGTCTTATAAAGCAGTTGAACTTTGGGAGGGGGTGGCTTAAAAATTAGTGACAGTTTTTTTCTTGGTGATGATCATAAGCTGATTTGCATGTGTATGTATCTACCATAACATTATTGAAAAACACTTGCGAGTTTATGATACCCTTTTGGAGAACTTTGAGTTTCTCCAGTCATCTTAATTTTTGTCATAACTTACATTAACAAAAGAGCTGTGTTCTTGTGACATCCAGGTTGGGAGTAACCCCCTGCAGCCTGTGCGGCAGTGTTTATTTGGCCTAGGGAGAAGGGCATAATGGTGTATATTCCTTACTCGCCCCCTCCCCCTATTTTTTTTTTTTAAACACGGAAGGTTATGTAATGCAGTGCCATTTCCAAAAATATCCACTCTGAGGCATTACACTACACATGGAGGGCTGATTCCGATTCTGCCGTCTTGACTGCAAATATGCTGCCGGTAGTATGTCTGGGAACAAAGAGCAGCCAGAAAACAATCTATTTTTATCACTTGGTTCTACTTTTAAGTTGCTAAACCTTTTGAACTCGTGCAATTTAAGGACAAACCAAAACTAAGGCTAGCCCAGGACTCTGCAGAGCCTGGGACCAGGCATCCCTTTGTCCCCTGCTCAAGCCCACAGACCACTTGGAAAGCTCCTGCAGAACCCCCAGTGGCCACAATAATTTACATGTAACTTAACCTCAGAAAAGAGTTCTTTGTCGTTCCAGCGGACGGTTTGCATTTCCTGACCTGTAATGAGGTGATGTGTCTACTGTGTTTAAACATATTTTGCAGGTTGGACTGAAGAGCGAGGATAGAAGCCCCGAGGCTGTTGAGATTCTCAAAATGGTAAGAATTGATCATCAGAGGAAATTCTCAGTAGCTTTTTATCAGTCTTTATTACATATAAATATCAGCCACCCACCTTCATCTGCCTCAGCCCTCATTGTTCCTGCCCACCTGACCTTTAAGGGCTCCGTCTCTAGCATGCGGGAGAGCACAGAACAGCGATTTATGTGAACTGGATGTGGTGAATTAAATCTTTGACTCACAGTGATTTTGAATAGAAAATGAAAATTCCCTTCCAGAAGCGAAGATGTATTTAACTCGAACAACAGGACCTTTTCTGTTCTTCAAGAGTGACATGCATGGGGGTGGGGGGACAGTAGGTCTCACACCAAGCCATGGGTCTCATCCTGGAGACAGCTGTGTGTAGGCCACCCTGAAGAGCCAGCTATATGAAAGCATGAACTTTCATATTAATAGACTCTGTCGTGTTTCAGATATAATTAGTGGGGGCCCTTTGTTGATTTATAACTTTGTTTTTGAGCAACAATTACTCAGTTTTAGATTTCCAGCATGTGAACCCGTAAACAAAAGTGTAGGTATTTCTGATAAGAATCAGTCCACAGAGATGCCAGCTTAATGTTTGATTGATTAAATAAAAGGTACATACATTAGAAACTGCTGACTAAGTATATTCTGTGCAAAATTTCTTTTTGGAAATAAGACTGGACTAAAAATATGTAATAGAAATGTCAAAAACTCTCCTGTTAAGTACAGCATGCCTCCTGCGGATGTTCATACTCTTTAAAACACCTCTTTGCCACTTAGAATGTGTGATTTCCAAATTTAGTTTTAGTTTTTTCTTTTAAAGGAAGGTGGAATTGAATGAATCAAATTGAATCTGATATCCTTGATGTTTTCTTTGAGAACAACCCAAGTATAAGCTTCCAAGGAGAAAATGAATCAGAGGCAATTAAGTAAGTTCAGTTTGATTTTTATTAACAAGTAAGCGTTTTATTTTGTATGGATGCCTCACCTGTCATTTCAACAAGTGGGTGTCAAAACACCAGAATAAAGTAGTTTTTACTTGGAGCTCATTTGGTAATGACTGAATGAAGGAACTGGAGATAGAAAGATGAACAAAATGAACATAAAATTAATCCATGGGTTTGGTACAAACTCTTCCTAACCGTATGGTAAATTCTTTATTAGGGGTTATCCTAGGGTAACAGGACAGTCATAACATAAACCGCTGAGGGCAATTTGGTTGATTTAATTATCTTTTACTGTGCGGGCTACATCCTTTGGCCTGTCGCTCTTTATCCCAGAAGCCTCCCCACTCGGGGCCAGCACAGGCTGATCAAGGTCCGTGGATGTTGTAGCATTTAAACATAAATGTGATCCCTGCCCAGACCAGCCCTTTTCTCATCTCCAAGGTGAATGTCATGTTCCTGTGGCAGTGAGGGGAAGGAGCTTCGTGGAAGGCAAGGGAGTATGCCAAAGCCCAGAATGGCAGTTGGAACCGTTTGAATGCAGGGAAGCCAATGTGCATGCTATTATACCTTCATTCCCTCCAGTCGTCGATTATGGTGGCAGAATGGAAGGGTGTTTACTCACGAGAAGATCCTCACAACTTTTTGGTGATCGTTTCATCAAGATGTCAGGTCCCGTTGGCACAGGCCCATGCCTGAAACGAAACCGCCGACCGTTACGTCTGTGGGCTATTCCAAGTAACTTTCTAGCAATTTTCTTGTTCCAGGAGGTCAGAGTCTTAAAAGTCTTTGTACATATTAATGTGAAAAAAAGGTTTCAGGGACTTTTTTCTTCATTTTAAGAATTGATAGGAGGTGTCTTTCCCTTCTTTCTCCTTTTTGGCAAAATGAAGTCTCTTCCTGGATTAAAGCTGGGATTGCTGTGGAGGGCTCTGTAACTCAACTCCTCCTTAAAAACTTGGCCCCCGTTCGACAGAAATCACTGCCAGGGTCGCAGTAGATTGAACTGGCCACCGCTAGGGACTATGCAGATACGGCTTTGCCATTGAACATGCAGTGCATGTGCATGATTTAAAGCACTGGGGAGGATTTCATTTCAGTATTTAGCCTGGTTAGTAAAGGGCTTGTTCCAGGTACAAATTTATAATCAGCTCAATCTGTGTAAGAAAGGGGTGGGTGGACTCCAGAACTCAACGCGGTGACTGGCTGTGGAGGGGTGTACATATCCTGAGTGGATCGTGTTTACAGTGGTCGTTTGGAGGCAGTGAAGAACCCTAGCCTGTCTTCATGGTGAGACATTTCAGCCACCTTATGCAGCTCTGGGAGATGCAGTAACACCCACATTGTCCGCTGTGCATGGGCCGCTTTGAGAACTGCTGCAGGGCAGTGTGGCTGGTGATCCCTGGGGTTGTGCAAAAGTGTTCATTTTGAGTATAGTTTGCTGTCTCTCGGTTGACCAGAATGTCCTTTTCAAGAACTCATTCTCCAACTTTTTTAGTTTTCTGATAAACATGTCTCCATGCCACATAAACCCCTGTTGCCTTTTTTTTTTTTTTTTGCCCTTTTTTTTTTGTTTTGCAATTAGTGGAATGTTGTGAGTCTGCAAGGGTCTTCAGCATTTCTTTAATTCGTATTTGGCATTTTGCCAAATTCTAATTTGTAGGATTGTATATATGTATTTCTAAAACTTTCCTATAGGGCACATGTACTTGCTGGAGAGAAAGCCAGTGAGAAACAGCTCCCGAGGGACAGTCATGCTGCAACCCCACCTCTTTCACTTCTCCTCCTTTTGGAATTTTGGGCATGCATGCACACACACATGCTTGGTGTGCTTTTTAAGTACCTGGGGCCCGGATTCAAACTATGCGGTTGGCTATGTTGTATTCAGCAACCTTACAATCATGCCACCAGCTGGTCCGTAGGATTCTATTTCATGTGGGGTATTGGTATTTACTTAGATATTTTATTTTGAAGATACTTCAGATATATCAAGAAGAAGAAAACATTTCGAAGAGTAGATGACCCTGTTGAATAGTTTGAAAAGTTAATTGTTTACTCCAAGGTCAAGGTTAAGCCCTTGTTTTCAACAGGATTACCCTTCGCACGGTAAACTTGCCTCTGAGTGTGCGTGCTGTGGATTGGGAGGGGCTGAGCCTGGGCTCGTGTTTTAACAGAGAACTGGGAATTGAAACCATTTAAGTTCTCTTTAAGGCTGAGGCTGAGGTTGAGCTTTTTAGAAAGATGAGTTGACTCCATTGTACAGTTCCTAGCGCTCTGCTTCCTGTACGGTCTGAGGAGTGCCATTCACGGACTCACAAGCAGACTCTTTCAATAATCTTCCATTTACATAAGGTTTCCTTGTCTACAGACAGAGATGAGCTTGGGAAGGGACGAAGTCCTGTTGGCAGCTGTGACTGGGTTTAGAATGTAAATTTACAAGTTGCCCAGCACTCCCGAATGTGGAGATGCTGAAGACTACCGAGGGGAAATTATCTGGCCCTGGCTTTCCCTTCACCAAACCTTCCAGGGCACTGTTAGGAAAGAATTGGGAATTGTTTGGGAAACTGGGACGGCAGAGATAGTCTGTCTGGGCTTAATCCCAGCACAGCTTCCTCTTGAGCTATATAGATAATTCAGGTAAGAGAAGGTATTTGAGTAGAAATCTTGGAATAAACAGCTATTCAGAGTGTCATTCCATTTTAATATGATAAAGTTCTTAAAAAGTTTGATGTAAATCAAATCATCATAAATACACTGAAGGAATTCACTGTATTTTAAATTCTGTTTTTTATTTATCAAATTTTATTTTTTATTTATTTAATTTGCAATAGGGCATATGTGCTCACCAGAGAGAGAGAGAAGTGTGGGGGGAATGAGAAAGCAAGCCTCCAGGTCCGGGACTCAAACCGTGGTCAGCTATGTGGGAGGCCAGCCCCTTAATCACCACACCATCTGCTGGCCCCTATTTTAAATTCTAAAATGAATACTTCTAAAATGAGAACATTTAGTTCTAAGATATAAATACTTTGCTAAACTCAATGAGTAACCTCCAAATTATGAATTTTATGCATGTAAGTGTTACTCTCCCTGGTCTTAAAGACTTGAAGCAGGCCAGCTTGTGGTATAGTGGTTAAATACTGTGCATAGAACGCTGACTCCCATATGGCTGACTATGGTTCAAGTCCCTGCCCTGGTGGCTCGTAATACACACTGGACATTTGCGTGTGGGGGCCGAGATCCTGCTGCTGTGAAGAAATGGAGAAAAGATTATAGCATGATTCCACCACATTAGGGTGATTTTTGCTCTCTCTCTGCCTCCTCTGGGCTCCTATGCCTACTAGCAAAACAAAACAAAACAAGCAAACAAATACAACCCACAACTTAAAGTCCCTTTCAGATGCATTGGCTAACAGAGGACCTTGGAGTAAAAAGCTGTAGCATCCTTGGGCCTATGTATTTTTCTTAGTGTTGTTTTTTGACGAAAAGTCTTTTATGGCATATCCTAGCAGGCACGATGAATAGAAGGTTGAATTAATGATCTGAATAATTAGGCTTTAAAAACCTGATTCCGTCTGCTTCATCTCGGTAATTCATAATGGTGCTAGAGTGATGCAGGAGTGCAGCGGATTTGCCTGAGTAACCTATGTCCTGCCTGTGTTGTCCGGAAGGAGACGACGCATGAGGAAATCTTGCCAGCAAATCCAGTCTGAATATACCCGAGGAAAATGTGTCAGATATACTTGGACTATATCATTGTGGTCAATCAAGATTTATCACAACATTTCAATTTAAAATTGTTCTGCTTTAAACTGGAAAACGAGTCAATCATAAACCTCAGCCCCCACCTCTAGGAATTACAATTGCTAAAAATATCATTCGTTGGGTCTAAGTCTGTCTGAGGTGCATACTTCTAGACATATTTTGCACCTAGCGAAAAGTTTCAAAATATTTCAGTGGTTGAAAAAAATAGTACTAATCCTGAAATTGACCTGCTAGTGTATGCCGAGTCTTAGCAGCCCTAGTGGTTTGGGATTTAAACATTACATGTCTCATGCCTAAATTCTAAGTATC